CACACCTCCCCCCCCACCCCAACCTCACCACAACCCCATAACTTACTTCACGGAAGAACTAACAACTCTCGTAACAACAACAAATAGAGCGGCAAATACATAATTCACGAGACAGAGTCCAAGTTACACATTTCTTTTCCTCGTTTGACATTAAAAGATCGCATGCACGTGCCTTATTGCGCCGACGTCTGGTCTGCTCTGTGCCCCAAGAAGACGTGACACACACAACATGCTCACAGTGGAAACGTCTAGAGTATTCTAGAACCCGGATAGAGAAGTGGTAGAAGAAGGAGTCTCTATCTCTAACACACCTATTTTATTGCACCAGGGAATAATATACGGAAGGATTTCCTGGAAAGAGAAGGGTCAGTAATGTATTGCGCCAGTTATTTTATTTTATTTTTTTCCCTTCTTGTTTTGGTGTATTATATACATATATAACGTATTGGTGAGTGTGTATATATATAGAGAGAGAGAGATAGATTCTATATTTATGAACCATTACCATCAAAATGCTATAATCAATATAGATCCATTTTATATATCATTATTATCAAACAGGTATTATCAATATTATGTCATTCTATGTTATGTCTTTGCTATCACACTGTTATTATCATTTTCATTTTTTATTACCTCCATACTGTTATTACCAATATCATTTTTTTTACTATCATCATCATTACATTAGCTATTTAAAAAAAAATAAGTCTTAGGTACAGATTCTGTCTATGTGTGCTTAGAGGAGTAGGGGACGGGGGAGGGGGGTTGTTATCATGGTCATACTTTATTATTTTATAACTATTATCAATACAGTGAATTAGTAAGAATAGTATAGATGCAATCGGACGGATTTACATTTCTTGATGGCAGCATCCTACTTTTAAGTACTTTTAAAAAAAATATTGTATTTTAATAATTATATTTTCAAGGGTTCTGGCCTGGCCTTTTCTTGTCGCTGTTATTCATTTTCATTCGGCTTGTCTGAGTTTGACAAGTATTGTTCGTTTTGCGCCAGGGTTTATTTCTTATTTTTAAAATTACATCGAAAGTATTTGGTCCAGGAGTTAAATAACATTTATTATTATTATCATTATTATTATTATCATTATTATTATTATTATTATTATTATTATTATTATTATTATTATTATTATTATTATTATTATTATTATTATGTATTATACATTTGTTACATTATTCTTATTACTATTATTATTATTATCATTATTATTATGATTATTATATTATTTATAGTATCATTACACTCATCATTATTTTCATTATCCTTTTCATTATCATTATTATTATTATAATTATTATTATTATTATCATTATTATTATTATTATTATTATTATTATTATTATTATTATTATTATTATTATTATTATTATAATAACTATTATCATTATCAAAACTACAAATATTATTATTTTTATTATTATCACTTATATTAATATTGTTATCATTATTATTATTACTATTTCTGTCCGTACTATTAATATTAACTATCAAATTATCACACTATAGATACTCATAATATTATTGTTGTTATGATCATTAGCACATCATGAACTAAACAACTAAGATAGTGTACAGGCCCCATGCGAAGTGGTGCGTAGATGACCTGAGTTCAATTCCCGAGAAAGAAAGTTTTTAAAAGGGGATTAAGCCTATTTCCGCCTTTAGTTTTAGTCAGAGTTTTACGGTACTTGTAACACAAAAAGGTCATATAAGTGCCGAGGATTAGAGGTGTTACAAGAGAGTAACAAACCACAAAATAGAAGGAGGGGAGATAAGGATGATAGCTGATGTTTGATTGGAAAGAAGGAGCAAACCACACCTGAGCACCCGTCAACCACACACTATTTCCGTGTGTTGTATCCAGTTCAACACCGTTTAGCACTGACAAAATTATGTCAACTTTGTACAACTTTTCCAATAAATTAATAGATAATCATTTCCATAAATGGATCTCAATGAATATTGCAGAATTATTCTGAGACTGAACTCATGCATGCCGTGACTGAGAAGCGCAGATTTCCAGAAACTTCTCGCTAGATTTAGTGCCAGGGTGTACTCTCTTCTCCCCTCTACATTTCTTTCTTGACCAAATTATCTCAACTGCGTAGATCTATAACTTTTCCAATAAATAGATAATCATTTCCATAAATGGATCTCAATGAATATTACAGAATTATTCTGAGACTGAACTACCGTAATGCCGTGACAGAGAAACTCCGATTTCCAAAAACTTCTTGCTAGATCTAGTGCCAGGGTGTACTTTCTTCTTATTTCTACATTTCTTTCTTGACAAAGTTATCCCAACTGTGTATAACTTTTCAAATAAATTAATAGATAATCATTTCCATAAATGGATCTCAATGAATATTACAGAATTATTCTGAGACTGAACTCATGCATGCCGTGACTGAGAAGCGCAGATTTCCAGAAACTTCTCGCTCGTGCCAGGGAGTGCTTTCTTCTCATTTCTACATTTCCCTCTTTCTTTCCGCTCCTCCTGAGTCAGAGAGATCACCGTTGCCATGGTTACTAATATCATCGGTCTCAACACTGGACGAAAGAGTGCGACAGGATATTAATATTATAGTATAGCCGAACTTGCTTCTACAGAATGAAAAACAAAAATACAAAAAAATAAATAACAGAGCGCGTTTCTGTAAAACAGACCGTAATGTAAACAAGTCAGTTTTCTATTTTTCAGCCAATAAAAGCGTTTTCTTTTTTAATACACAAACAAAGATTGTTTCTTTTTTTTCCTTTTGTTATTGCAACATTTATTTCTTTATTTCTTAATTTTCTTTCTTTCTTTCTTTTTTTCTTTCTTTCTTTCTTTTTTTCTTTCTTTCTTTCTTTCTTTCTTTCTTTCTTTCTTTATGTATTTATTTATTTATTTATTTATTTATTTATTTATGTATTTATTTTTGATGTATTTATTTATTTATTTATTTATTCATTCATTCATTTAATATTTGTCGCTCATGACCTGCCGTGCTACAATTTTTCTGTTTTATCAGTTTTATAATGATATAATAATAAAAATGATGATCATAGAAAAAATACTACTACTACTACTACTACTACTACTACTACTACTACTATTACTACTACTACTACTACTACTACTACTACTACTAATAATAATAATAATAATAACAATAATAATATTTTTCCAAAATAAACTAATAATAATAATAATAGTAGTAATAATAATAATAACAACAACAATAACAACAACAACAAAGCATAATAAGTATTAACAGCAACAAATTATATTAGTATATTGTATCATAATGAAATTAACAATAATTGAATAACAACAAAAGGAACAGTATCACCTATAGAAATAATATGTTATCATTGCCATCACCATCATAATTTATTATTATTATTATTATTATTATTATTATTATTATTATTATTATTATTATTATTATTATTATTATTATTATTATTATTATTATTATTATTATTATTGTTAATTGCTATTATTATTATCATCAAAATTATTTTTATTGTTATTGTTGTTATAATAATTATTATAGTAGTAGTAGTAGTAGTAGTAGTAGTAGTAGTAGTAGTAGTAGTAGTAGTAGTAGTAGTAGTAGTAGTAGTTATTGTTTCTATTCAAATCACTGTTGTTATTGCATTTTCTGGTTGCTTTTATAGCCATGATTATTATTGGTTCATTCGTAGTTCTACTTGTAGTTTTTCTTTCTTTCTTTCTTTCTATGATTACTATATATGACTATTGTTTTATCATTTTCGCTAGTGCTATTACTATTATTACATGTATTATCATTATTATTATTATTATTATTATTATTATTATTATTATTATTATTATTATTATTATTATTATTATTATTATCATCATTATTATTATTATTACTATCATCAGCATCTTTAGTAGTAGTAGCAGTAGTAGTATCATTACACGTATTATTATTATTATTATTATTATTATTATTATTATTATTATTATTATTATTATTATTATTTAGTATTAGTATTTTGATTATGATCATTTGCATTGTTATTATTGCAGTTGCCATTGTTTGAGTTTCACATTATTTTTGCCGTTTTCATGATAATGATGGCGAAATTTGTATTGTTGTTGTTGTTGTTGTTGTTGTTGTTGTTGTTGTTGTTGTTGTTGTTTCTGTTGTTGTTGTTGTTGTTGTTTCGCTTGATTTGTGATTGTTATTTCTATTTGTTATTTGTTATTAGTTATTGTTTTTTTGTGTTCTTCTGCTGTTGTCCCAGTTCCCCTCTTGTTCTTCCTACTTTTGTTGCTGCTAAGGTTTCTTGTTCTTGAGTTGTAACTATCGGGGTTGTAGTTGTTGTTGCTATTATTTGCTGCTGTTGTGTTGTTGTTGCTGCTACTGCTGTTGTTATTGCTGTTGTTACCGTTATTACCTTTTTTGTAAGTGTTTTACCGCGCTCGCAACTGCATAGGGTCATACGACAGCGCTTTGTTACCGTTGTTGTTGTTATTGTTGTTGTTGTTGTTGCTGTTGTTTTTACTTTACTTTGGCTTACATGGTCATTTTGTTTTCTGTTCCCGCTGATGCTGCTTCAGTTGCCGCTGCTGTTGCCATAATTCTAACAATAATCGTTGTGTTGGAATTGGTTCTTGCTGTAATCGCTGTCGATAGTGCTATTTTTATTAATCTCTCGGTGTACATTCGAGTTTCTATTGATGTAACGATGACATTTGTAGAGCGCAAATCCCCGCCCATCAGCAAGCTCTGGCAAAAAGATATTATTAATCCGAATACAGGAAAAAGAGGCTAAAACAGCACCTGGACATGGATGGCTGGTGCCTCTATAAATAAATCATTGATGGTCTGGTATCAGCAAGCTCTATGCGATTCACAATCTATACTGTACATATATGTACATGTACCACGTTCTATTACTACGATTGCTGTTATTCGGGTCTTAACTCTGTTTGTTTTTTTAGGTGCTTTACGGCGCTTGCAACTGCATAAGGTCATATGAGCGCGTGGGACACATTAAACTTTTTCAGTTGGTAAGAAATTTAGAATTTTGCCCAGGTGGCGGCCGAAGCCTACTCTTCCTTATCGATTTTAGACCACCAGGGGATCTTTAACGTGCGCAACTTGCACACGGGCCCTCCGACAGGTCTTACCTTTGAAATTACAACGCGTTCTGTGAATTTGAATGAGCCTGAAGCGGGTAGTTGGAAGGCGCCTAGCTGGTAGGTCCTACTTCTTTACTTTCCGCCTAGTGTTGTTTCTGTCTGTCCGTCTTACTTTTCCCCCGTTCTAAATGACCGTTATTGTGTCTACTGACTTCTCTTTACTCAAAGATTGAGCC